TATTGCTGAAAGCGACATACACCTAAACTCACTCACTCACTCACTCAGTGCCAAGCATGTCTATAAGAAGGTCAAGCTATGCGGCCATCTACAGGATGTTGTTTACATTGTTGTAGGAGCATCTCAGTTTCTTTATCTCAGAGTCTACAATGTCAGTATTAACTACACAAATATGCTATGCACAATATATTTTGATAAAATCTTTGTTTCCTGTAGTGTCTACAAGTTCTATATCATGCCTTGATGTCTGTTTGCTAAACCTGTACTGCATTTTTCATTTCCATTTATCAGCTGAAATCAAGATGGCTGTTAGTTAAATCCAAGATGGCTGAATTACCAACTTCCCTTCTCACTTCCTGTCAGTTCTTTCTCTGTTTTTCAACTGTTAATGGAGTTATATGGTTGTTTCCCTGTTTGTCATGGTTTTCTTGCTTGCACCAGATGTAGACTGGGCTGAACTGAGCTAGGTCATTTGCAGCTAATAATTGGTTATATAATCTCAATGGTGAGGATTGTTCTGACTGGTGACATTTGAAGATAACTTAATTGTGTATTATCACTCAGTACAATTTTAATGTATGCAGTTACATGTACCAATACAAATACTTTTATCTCAGGATATAAAAAAAATATAATTACTGAGGTGACCACTTATTTAATTGCAGTAAGATGTTTGTTCATGACGATCTCTTCATATATTTTCAGTATAGTACGGGTTCAAGACGTCAAGTATTTTGTTTATGATTGGTCTGAGTTCTTTGAAAGTAATACTTCTAGAAATTGATTATTTGTCTGAAAACATGAAAACCTGGTTGAGATATTTTTGTTGTTGCTTTTTTGTGAAATGAAAAGTGAGAATGCAAAAGTGCCATGTACATTTTTGTATAACTGCATTGCCATAGATTAAGGAATGATTTAACCATCAAAAGACATTTAGAAGTATGCCAGGTTTCTTTTTTCAACACTGTGACAGGATGGAATTTACACAATTGGGTAATTTTGTAACAGACTGGCATTTTAAGCCTGTTAATGACCATCTCTCAAAATAGCACAGAAATGTGAATTAGTAGCATGTGAGAAGTGATTCCAACTTTGATGAATTTGATCCTGTATGTTTGGAATCATGTATGTATGTTATGGAAAAACGGTTACTATTAATCATGTTATTCAGGTGTGGATTAACTGTAGAGGTGCCATATACATCACACCTGGATAATACAGTACTTACCCTCCTAGTCCCATGTATTGTTTCATGTACCTGTATTGATACTGATGTATTTTGTACAGTGTGTTTCAGTGTGTAGGGATGCAAACACAAGTACCTATTGTCCTGTTTAATGTGTTGGTCAAAGTGTGGAGAGTTGTGTCCCGTTGCTGTCAGGATTTGATGAGATGAGTTTGAATCCCTGATTTGCTCAAGTTGATCAGTTGGTACCATACAAATACCTGTCCGGTAATGTCTCCAAGCTCTGCCACTGCACGCTTCTTCCAAATACAGTGTATTCTCTTTCAAAACTGAAATACAATTCAAAGCATCATTAACCAAACTCATTAATGCTGCATAGAGAAGGTGAACTCCCATTCAAGTAGTGAAGGACACATGTGTTGTGGATGTTTGTGGATGTACAAATGAGACGTGTATGTTGTTGTAGATCCTGGATTGTAGGAGAGTATTACACAATATACCTGCCTTGGTGACACACCGGTGCACTGTAAGATGCTGTTGAGATTCTGCTGAGTGGGCGGATGTGGATGGCTGTCATTGTTTACATGCTTCTCATGGAGAGTAGATTCTACTGACTTTGACGAGGGTCACTGTTGATGTTTGTATGAGTGAAGCCGAGAAAGTACCATACATATTTTGCTATTGTAGATTGACAATAACGCCTTCAAAAGGCTCTTATATCCTGCAAATTTTTGCTCTGGTTGTGGATCATTACCTTAGTTATATTTTTTCAAGAACTAAAATTTCTTTTTTCATGGATATACTTGTTTAAATAGTTTCAGGGGAAATTATGAAGTTGTTTCTTACCATATACACTGGAAGTTTGTTTAAAGAAAAAAAATCTCCTAGTTGTAGTACATTTGAACTGATTGAAACAGTTTGAGTTTCTGGAATAATCAGTTATTCCCTCATATTGTTTTTATTGAATGATACGTCATTTTGTAAATTATTTGATTCTGAAATAATTGGCATTTGTTAGTGCTGTTTAGTTACATAGTGTTAAAGGTAAAACTTTAACATAAACAATCATTATATATGTAAATATTCAGGTCATGTTTTTCCATGTTCAAATTTTGAGTGGATTTGTGTAAAGATTTGAAATGATGACACTACCAAGCGGGTATTCAACAATCTATTGATGTTTTATGGTGTTTTTATGTGGTTGTTGTAGACTGATGCTGATTGTGTTGCAGTGGATATGCCTTCAACTGTACATTGTGTTTGTGAATGCTTCATCCAAGCTTGTATGTTTTAGTGTGAGTGACTGATCTTGTAACTTTGATTTGCTTGATGGAAATATTAGGTTACAGCCAATACTCTGACCTGCTGGGAGACAATGAACCTATGCTTTACACACAATATTGAACCTGTAAGTTCAGTAATGTTGTCATCATCCATGCTTTCAAGTTTTAACTGATGAATTTCATCTTTATTGTGAGTTGCTGACAATTTCCCTGTATATTATGGATCAGCATGTGGATTATTTTCCTAAAACGAAAGAATACAAAACATTCTGTTAATAATTTATGGTTAAGAGTTAATGATGATCTTTTATGGAGAAACATGTACAGTGTGAATGACCCCCTTAAAATTTATGTACAAAGTACCTCCCCAGAACAAAATGGGTGACCACAAAGTAAGTGACCAGCCCTGCATGTCATGGACAAAATTGCTGACCCCACCCCTAGTACATGTGTACCAAATAGATGACTTCCCCTTAGCCCCCTACCTCCCCAGAACAATATGGATGACACCCCCAATCATCATCACCTCCCGAGCCATAAATTATGAACGGTCCCTTAGTAGAAAGAAGGAAGAAATTGTTTCACACTTGCCTCTATTCAATCCATTACAAAACAAATTGACTCCATCTTATGTGCCTTGGAAATCCAATCCAAATAAGAACAGGCAAGAAAGGTATGATACTTTATTGAATGACAACTTCTTTATTATATTATGATGCGACGTTCTGGTTCTTATATATATCATAAAGTTGTCATCCATAAAGTATCATACCTTTCCTATCATTCATCAACTTCTAAAATGAAATTCAAACAGATAAGGACAGACAGTTGGTAAATTGCCCTCAGTACACAGAAGTTGTGTTCTCTCTGATGACAACTACATAAAGTCCATGTCTAAGTGAGTCTCTCTAGGAATAGCACCAACTGTACCATGAGCAGGTGAATGTTCCCAGCAGGGACATTGTGGGCACCCTCTGCGGTGTCGTACGACTGCCGACAAGGTTTACATCGTTGTCTCCAGGTCTTCATTTGTTAATACTTCTACAAGATTTTATTAATGGATGTGAAGAAATTGAAATTAAAATTGTTGTATTTTCTGAGATCAGTGTTTTGTGGTATTTCATAACTGTTTCAGTCTTTTGTACATTTCTACAACACACCATGAAAATGTTGCTGTGGGATTGCAAAGTGTCTGAAGTGTTTGTTCATCATGCTGAAGGTTGGGATTCGATTTCCTACAGGGGTAAAATATAAATGTTTTTTTATGTGATTACATCTCAAGATTAAGTTAATGGCTACAATGATATAGAGGGACTAATCATAGAACAACTATTGTTTGATTTCTGTTGTACTCTGCCATGATATTGCTGGAAGATTTTTAAGGTGGTGCAAATTAATACTGGATTAATACCATTAAAATGGTGCCAACTCTGGGATTAAGGTTGCTGAATGTGCTACACTTTGTAATTTTTGGACATAGTTTGCTGGTTATCAATGTCAAGGTCGCTGATTATGAAAGGTGAAGGTTGTAACCATAAAGGGTTCAGATTTTGAGGGATCAATTTTTATTGCATTTCATTGTTAATAATACATGATAATCTCAAGAATTTTAAAGGCCACATGTTGTCAAGCTTCATCCAGAATGCATTTGGCCACACTTCACTCAAAGAATGTCAGTCTCACCAGTTTGTATGCGGAGAACTTGATTAACCAAAAACACTGATACCTTACTTACCCATTTTAGTGTTGAGGTTGTTTATGATTTACCTGGTAGTATAAAAATATTCAAGCTTTGAGTTTTGGAACACGGTTTGCATGTACTCACTTACCTTGTGAAACACAAGGATAGTGGAGGTTAGAACATCAGCACAAGTGGTATATTTTCAACCACAAATTGTGGCAAAGGTCAAGGTCAACTTTGATCGTATCATGGAACATAGTTTTGACATTCATTTCCAGTATCTGTTGCACTCTCCATTGTACACACATTACACGACCCGTCAAGGTCTGGGTTAGAATATTGATCTTCAGTAACCCATGCTTGTCGTAAGAGGCGACTAGCGGGATCTAGTGGTCAGGGTTGCTGACTTGGTTGACACGTCATCGGTTCCCAAATGCGCAGATCGATGCTCATGCTGTTGATCACAGGATTGTCTGGTCCAGACTCGATTATTTACAGACCGCTGCCATATAGCTGGAATATTGCTGAGTGCAGCGTAAAACTAAACTCAATCACATACATAACCCATAGTAATTAATAATACACGATAATGTCATCACTGACCAACAGACCTGGAGAAAGTGTTGAGTATTTGTGTTATATCCGAGCCCGGCAGCTCCATGAAGACGAAAGACAACACAGTTCAGTGACGTGTACTACTTGCAGAAGTATGAAACATGAGGGCCAATTCTGGAATACGAATCCATGATCATGTGGTTCTTGCACAACAAATGGCTGCATCTCCATGACCTGCTGAGACAACAGCACCACCTATGGCTCTTTAATCCCAACAAACAACACAACAGGCCAGTCATATTTAAAATGATTTATTTGTTTGTCTGCCGAGACAATGGGTGAACCACGTCCCCCAGACTTCCACTAATGGATGTTGATTGTGTACCCTCCGCTCTGGACCGAGATGGAGAGAAGAGACTAATAAATAGACGAGACACTAACATGGAGAGATGAGTGAATATGAGTATAATGTACACAATGTACAATGGATGATGCTTGCTCCACACACAAAGACGACACATTGTCAGTTGACCATATCTCAAATCATTTCTGGCAAAGATGTTTCTGTTGTGGCAATGTTGTTAATCATGTCGACTTTCATTATTTAAACAAAGGAGAAAACCTTCCTGATCTACCTGTACTGGTTACCAGGCAACAAGAAGTAAACACAATGATCAGGCATCAAACTAATCAATTGCTGTAAAGTGAGTGAATGAGTTTAGTTTTATGCCGCTACTAGCAATATTCCAGCAATATCACGGCGGGGGACACCAGATATGGGCGTCACACATTGTAACCATGTGGGGAATCAAACCCGGCTCTACAGCGTGACAAGCGAACACATAAACCACCAGGCTACCCCAACACCCAAATTGTAACAAAGAACATCTCACTAAAGTGAATGTATTTTTTAACATTCAGGAAGACCTACACCAAGAGGTGAGGCCCAAGGGGTAATGTTTTCATGAGCCCAGCTTGGGCTTTTATCAAGGGATAATTAAGGTCCACAAGTTTTGAAAACTACTCATTGAGTCAGCTCCATACAGACAGTGGAATTGCATACTTTCAAAAGCTTTGCATTCTTGTTTCTCCATGACAATTACATCTAATCACAGATCAGAATGGCATTCACATTTTGTATTGCAGATGTAAACTGTGAAAAAACAAATCAAAATGCTCATTCAAAACTATCAGTTTGTGACGAAAAAATGGACACAAAGAGAAACTGCCCATGGTTTCCAAACATCCACTGAAGCCATACTCACAAGTAATGTTTCTCTCAACTTTAGAAGGAGTTGTGTTCTTTGTAAACACCAGAAGAAAATTTAAAGTAAAATGCCAGTTCTAACTTCGAGATTCAAAGATTCATTCTCTATTCATTATTTAACATCCTGACAGCAATAAGAACCTGGTTTCATATAATCATGATTATCATGACAATAAAATTGGCCCTGTAAACAACAATAGTTTTGGTCACAACCACCAATATGAATATCATTTCATACAAGCACTCTTCCATTGTTGACCTAAGCCAAAACTTCCAAGACGTTAGAAAATATAAAACATAGCAAACATACAAAATTTCAATGGAAGTACAAAGGGTCATAAAACTTAACATGCGTCATGAATACTGTGATCAACAAAATCCCCATGAAGGTACCGGTGGGTCGCCCATGCCGAAACACCCGACAAATACTGGGATGGAAAATACCCTGGACTGCTGACAAGCTCGAAATGTGATAAAATATAGCAATACCCCTAACAGTTAGAAATTCTACTAGATCTTTGCACACACTTAACATTACCCAAACTGTTCTTGGTAGTAGGCTTTTGCTAATTTCCATCACCTTAATTGTTGTATTTACAACATTGAGTAATCATATTATATAACGTGTGACTACCCTGTGATCAGTTGTTGATACATGCTTCTGTCAAAGTGGAAATCAAGTCATGCAAGCAACCATACAGTTGAGGTATTCCAGATACATTTAATTCAATCATATGACACATTATCGCATGTTAATGTTGATGCTTGGCACGAAGATAGCCAGGATACACAGCAAAACTTCCTTCATCAACAAGAAAACAAACACTTTGTGTAATGTGGTATCTAGACATGCCATGACATCAACACAGAACATTGGTCCGATTACAGTTACCGTGGTTACTCCTTACCTTGACCCTCATCCTACCAACATCGCTGTGAGTGAGTGAGTGAGTAAGTAAGTAATTATTGCAAAAGGCTGCATCAGCCATATTCAAGTAACCATGGTGACGTATCACAATAAATATGATGAAAGGTGAAATATGGGATAGGCCGGCTATGGAGACGATTGATACTTAATTAACATGTCTGAAACATGTCATTACACCGGATGGTAAGAATCTGTGTGCAAGGGCAATTTCGACAACCCCATGAGCTTCAGAATCACATTTCACCACATCTCCACCCTGAGTTTGTGACAGTTTCGCTTAGATTTAATACGTCCTTCTTTACACTAATAAAAATAAAGTTGACCACTCATAAATAATGATTAGAATTAGATCACTGGGTGACTGTTCAAGTTATTGGTAACCATGGCAACTCCAACTTCTTCATCAGGTTCACTGGTACTTCCCGTAGTTGCCGAGGTGGTGCCGCACTCCATTGTTTATACTCCCCCAATGTGACAGTCCGGTAGCTATTATCATCTATCATTGATCGGCTTGTTCCAACTCATAAATCACAGTTATAATCGACTCCTATTTGATTCATTTTCCAGTTATTTTTAGGGCTGGCAGCGATTCGGTTCAATTTTCGATAACCATTATCACTATTTCGATTTGATATTTGAATATTTATTCAAATTATTTCAACACAGCGAGAAGGTAATTTTGACTCCAACTCGAGCAGTTTTGAGCGCTGAAATAAGACGATACGTCATTGGTTGACACCGGGCTAATTATCCAATGAGAATTGTTCTTAGTAGACATTGCCAAGTTGACAATAGATTTCACGCTAAAAAGCCGACTCACTTGAATTCTGAGAGTTAAATGAAATCCGATGTTTTTACTTGTATGAAGAATCAAGGTCTGGGTGAATCGTTGCAGCCTTAGTTATTTTACAGTTTGCAACAGAACATGTCTCAATCATTGTTTGACATTTTAAGAATCTCATTCCATGTACGACAATGAATTAAAATACTTGAGTTACTGCATCATGTTGATGAATGTGTTCAATACTTGTCTAAATTGTTTATCAAATCATACATTTCTAAAAACTAGACCCTGGATCTTAAATTCTGAAAATTCTTCTGAATAAAACTTAAACTGTGAGTTAAAATGACTCCTTTTCGTTGGCTTATCTGCAATTTTCTCAAAACATCAGACAATCTGCTTTACAAAGCCAGGCAGCATTATTGGGCTGTCTGATCGTCACCAATTTGATACCAAGTCGATGATCAACAGCACATTCCACATCAGACACGCCACAATAAATGTACAATACAGGTACAAATTTCTTTGCAGAAATGACATGACAACAGGCCCTTGTACAAGACTCGTCTTTTGTGTAGCACCGAGATAGGAGGAAGTCTTCTACTTGTCAGGCCGCTTCACTGTAGGTTTGTCTCCCCGACACTTAGGGCAATACCATTTTCCTTTTGGCTTCGTGGTAAGTCCAACACAGTTAAAATGAAACCACTCAATCACACACTTGTCATTGTCACATCCTATCATCTCACCATAGGAGACTTGGTTGCATAAACAGTATGTGGGTTCATCGGGATCAATGGGGGGATCAATGGGGGAGTCTTCTCGCTCCTTCTTCACTTTTCGCTTCTTTTTCTTTTTAGGAACCTTTTCTTTCTCCTCCTGAAAACAGCAAGAAATAGCTCACAGTGAACAAAGACAACAGTGTTAAATAGCAAATATCTAAAGATCCGAATCACAGGAATAATTCCTTAAAGATTAAGGAAAAAGTGATGAAAAAGTACATGCTAAACTTAATAGACCCCAACACTCCAAAAGGGGACAATACAACTTGCCAAAATACACACAAAAGGACCAAATGGCTGTTATCAAACATTTCATTGTGTATATCACCCTGTATATAAACTTGAAGCGTATCCCTGTTGACCTACACAAGGAATACTGATTCCTGTTGCACAGAGAAACTGAGATAAGTTGTACCTTGACATCATCTTGGCTGACATCATGATTCTTCTGTCGTCGTTGTCTCTTAGCGACCGGCTTTTCAGACCGCTCTGTCTCTGCAGCTTTTGTTTCCTTCTTGGGTGGATCCTTTACAGGCTCTGGCTCCTTTGTGGATCCAGGATCTGCAACACCAAAAATTGTTTGCAATGTTTTTTATAACACTACATTCCAGATTCCTGCACTAATGACGTGGCATGCATGAGTGTACTTGGCTAGCTCACTGAACATAACACTGACGCTCCACTCAAACTGAGTATACTGACTTTGAGCCAACCAGTCTTTCGGCCTTAATGTAGAGTGCTAGGGAGGGTGATCAAACCCCTCTCAAAAGGCAAGTCTATCCTCTACATCACAGAGGGGTCATGGGTTTGGGAAGCAACAGTAGTGAACCTATACTGATACAAAATCATCACAGAACCCTAAACATCTGTTTCTTATTTCTGCCAATTCATATGGAGATTTCAGAGTCTATATTCAACTTGACAGCTTTGTCTGATATTTGCATAGTATTCTTATACCAAGCTGAAAACATACTGCCTGCTTCATTAAAGGCTCCAAATTTGGCACACTACCTACCTGTGACTGACCAAATAAACTACGGTAATTTAGAAACCCAACTCTAGCCCAGACAGGAAGGATTAATGGCGCATAGCCCACCTAAATTCTCTCTGTCTTGTTCCAGCTGTCTGGCTCGGTTCTCAATGAAGTCAATGATGACAGACAGCAATACAAGTTTCTCATCTCCAATCTCCTGACATCGTATCAGAGCTCGTTGGATGGCAAAAAATGCCTTCTTCTTCATAGGGCCTTGTTGCTTGTACACTTCTTGTTGATAGTCCATGTCTTGCATAATGTCTACAATACACAAGTTATACCATACATGAAAAGACACTTTAACATCACAATGATTATTAGTTTCTATGAGACTAGACACCATATATATTTTTGGTTTGTTTCCTATTCAACCAACATCAAACAATGCCACATGGCTTATGGTCCTAAAGTGAAATAAAACTAATTCAAATGTATTTCCTTGAGTGTTATTTGACTGAAGAGAAAAAGAAAAGAAGAAGACTGTTAGGAGAGTCTGTTTTATGTAATTTGTATTAACATTGATTAAGTGATAGTTGTTATTGGGTCACAATGTTTAGAGTTTTCAGTGAGGGTTGTGGGTGACCTTTCGCATCATGTATGTTCAATGGTAATAGTATTTTAGCGACACGCCTTTTGAGAAAGTGCTCCAGAGTTACCTGCCCTTGATTATCTTATTTCCGACTTTCATCATGTTGTAAACACGAGGCCAATCCCGAAAGTTCTAATAGAATAATGATACAGCCACAGTTTGCTCGAAAGTTCTAGAATCTGACTGACTGAGTTTGGTTTTATGCCGCTTTGAGCAATATTCCAGCAACATCACGGCGGGTCTAGAATCTGTGTCAGTTTATATAAAGGCTGGTTGTTGTGTTGTGCGACACGGAATTACACACAGAATTACACGGGACATTTCATATCACTGGAGTTGTGCCTACCATTACATCTGTCTGCCTCGTCTAGCTGACCTACATTCAAGAGTGACTGCCTGACTACTGCTCTCATTATAAACAAGCTTCATTTAGAATATCTGCTCTAACTAAATATCAAGGCTCGTGGTGAGTTGATATTTTATATGTGACCCATTACGTTAGATTTGTGACTCAATTGCAGTGTACTAGATATCTGTATTGTGATTCATTGTAGCTTGTTCATTGTTTTATTTTGCTGGTTCAAAGGGGATTCTTAAACCTTTTGGCTACGGCACTTATTAACCGTAACAAGACAAAGCCATGAATATCCCCACAATGGTAAAATACTCTTCATGAATAGTTAAACTACAAATGTATGGTTTGATGTACCTCAGTAATGCTGATACAGAGTGGTACTGTTGATTTATGTCATTAGGTTCTTGAATACCCACAACATGGAAACGTGTATTGAACATGCTGAAAGGTTTTTAATTTCTGTTCCGGAAAAGAGCACCAACACCAATTTCAGTCAAAGTCAAACATGTTGCCATGGAAACACAAATAATATTTTATTCAGAAATCCCAAACTACTAAAAGGCACCAGTTCACAACCAGACCTATCTATGTGCCAAATTTGGTGAAAAAACATTGAACATTTTTAAAGTTTTGCTCCGGAAAAGAACACCAACACCAATTTCAGTCAATGTCAAACTTGTTGCCATGGAAACACAAATAATATTTTATTCAGAAATCCCAAACTACTAAAAGGCACCAGTTCACAACCAGACCTATCTATCTGCCAAGTTTGATGAAGAAACAATAAACAGTTTTAAATTTCTGCTCCAGGAAAGAGCACCAAGACCAATTTCAGTCAAATATGTTGCCATGGAAACACAAAAATATTTTATTCCCTAGTGTATCCTTCTGTTGAACTGGAAGCTGCCAGAGGTAATGGAGACGAAGAACAATTTGATATTTCACGACTGGTGCTTAAAATGTTGAATGAAATATATTTTACGTGAGCAATTATTAAATATGAGGTTGGAAATCCGAAAGCACAACCCTATGTGGAAATGGGTGTCTACATTTGATGATTAAAGTTAAGACTTAACACTCTGTATCCTTTTCTAATATTGAGAGAAATCAGTGCACCTCAGGGGTGGAAATATCTTTAAAATTGCTAGTGTACTCCGGTACAGTGGCACGTGTAAAATCACTTGCCCTGATAATTTTCTTGTTGATTTTATAAACATAAAATATAATTAACCTTGTACACTGGTACAGCGGGATATACAAGTTTGCTTGCCAGACAGAAAAAACCCCACTGGACAAGGATGTCGGGCAATGGGTTATTTCCACCCCTGACTTACATGTTTCATATACTTACTTAGTATTTTTAGAAAATGGAAGGGGAGAGTATCGGCAAAAATGAGGGAAAGAAAAATAGATGCATGTCAATGACAGTATATGAAATAAGGCTCGTCAGACAGCCCGAGACGGTCTAGATTTCTGACGAACGGTCTAAATTTACAGCTAGCCAGTCCGATGGTCTGGCAAATATTGTAGAAGTTCCATATATCTGAGTAAAATCACCATATTTGGTCTGGTTAAATCCATTTTGGGATGGTAACATTTTGAAGTTACCAGCCCTAATGTCTGGCTGGGTTTTTGGCTTATTTCATACACTGTCAAGGAGTTGGTATATTGGATACTTTTGGCCTGTGTTCCTCGGAAAACAATGGTTCATAATGGCATAACATTTCAACAATTATATTAAGTGTTCTACTTCATTGTGAGAAAACTGAGTGTATATTTGCAACTGATATTAACTAATTAAAACATTCCGGGTTTTTTCACAAAACAGAAGAAGTGATTTCTTTTCGTGTACACTCCCTTTAACACAATGATTTGCATTTGTATGTCTCTAATCAAACTGACATGTTAGAAATCTGTGACATCTTGCAAACAATGTCGACCTAACTATAACTAGCAATTCAAAGATATAAAATATCAACAAAATATAGTCGTACTTGAAAGAGGTACACTATAAACATTACACCGGATCTTTTATCACGGGGTACAAATTCGGTCGACACAAACAAACGGTTCACATTTGTCACGTTTGGTTTTCAAACTAACATCACCGATGAGACCTGGCACTTCCGACTCGTATAAAAACGGTTTCTGTGTAAACTAAGGAATTAGATATGAATTAATTCTTACCTCTACACTGAATATCTAACTCTCGCAGTTGGGAAACACTTCGTTGTAAATCGTTAGGCAGATTCTCCATCGTTTCCAAATAATTTTCGAGATACGTTCCAGAGCATAAGGCCTCTACGGCGGCTTGGTTGAGCATGTTCATACCTGGATAGATGTCACGTGAACTCACCGCAAAACTGAAATAAAAGTTAAAGTCTGGTAACTTCAGTATGTTGAATCAAATCATAACGGTGTGACATGAAAATTTGACTGGGCCTACGCATCGAGTTTCCCTCCCGCTGGTGAATGAAACCGGTTGAGTGTAAATGATGCGAGCGAAATTAATGTGAACGAAAAGAATAATCTCATCATCTTCAAACTAGATCCGAATCTGCTGAAGAAATTAATGTGTTGAGATATTCGTCTTCAAATACGGTTGTCTGTCATTTAACGATTATAAGAACTGGAAATAAAGAAGACTGTCTGCTTCATCTGTTCATCTCTTTCCGTTTCAGAACCCATAGTTTAATTTTCTATGAAATCGAGAACTTGCTTCCGGGAACTCGTTCGACCTTGACAGTGACACAGCTTGTGATGACAAACCGAAACACGTGTTTACACAAATAGCGTTGGTGGTATTAGCCTGTTGTTATTTCACATTGCTGATAAAGCTCACATGGCAACGATCGGACATTATTTCAAATCAAGTTAATGTTGAAATGAAATCTAAAAATAAACGGCATTGTTAGCTGGGAAACCCCCTCACTTAGTACAGCCAGATTTGAGGTCACAAATGATAATATTCAAACGACCTATGGGAAACCTTCAAGTGTCCGAAGAGCTCGTTCTGTCAAGTGAAAGACAGTAAATCTTAAGTTGGGAATGCTGTTATGACATTTGGATCGAAATGTCAGCTAAAATATTTCCCAGATTTTCGCGAGGATGGCATCAGTACTTCAACTCCCGTCATTTACGATTTGCAAACGGAAATTGTCAAGTTAGATCATGGACTCTCAGAAATCGTACAATCTTAAGCAGTGGCATTTCGACGTCCCAGCGTTATACAAATTGGGAGAAGCCTCAGGGATATGACACTGGAATTAAAGTGTGGAACACTTTAACAAAGACTAAAGAGCCGTTAATTCTGAGGAATGACAGAATGGGAACATGGTAATAACATTAAGGAGATATTATTCACCTTGATTATAAAGCAGATTAAGATTACTTCTTTGAGTGGCTTTTCTAGAAGTTGGAGAGTCAGATATCGACAAACTTTATGGATGAACTTCTTTATTCAGGTGATGCAACGTTTTGATAAACATTTTTGTATCGTTGTCAAGCAGGTAGGAAATGGGTAGGAAACAGGGTTATATATAGTATATAATTAACAAAAACAACAAGAAGGTAATGGAGAAAAACAGTATTGTGATGACAAGGGACATTTATAGAAGCCATTGGGACAGACAGACAGACGACGTAGTAGAACTGTTTAAACAAGCAATTAGAGTTGATTGATGAGTGTATGTGATTAAGACGGGAGTGAGTTAACCTGCTATGTATTATTTGGAAGCAAAGTTGAACCTAACCTATAAAATGTTGTCTATATTTTACACTGCAAGTCATCAGCAGAATTTAGATTATCTAGCATGAGTTAAAATAATCGTCTGCAAGATGTCAATACCAAACAGACTGTATTTGTTTATCTCAAACCTCAGATAAAGAGTTATTTTTATGATATAAAGCATAGTAACTAAGTTACTACAATGAACAGATTTGAGATATCAGTCCATCAAGATAACTCAGCTTGATGACAGGTGTTATGATTGTTACCTTCAGGTATATATCAGTTACTGGATTGTCTGACCCAGACTTGACTCGTGAAGATCTGGGTTAGAATGATCTTCAGTAACCCATGCTTGTCGTAAGAGGCGACTAACAGGATCAGGTGGTCAGGCTCGCTGACTTGGTTGACACATGTCATTGAATTCGAATTGCATAGATCAATGCTCATGCTGTTTATCACTGGATTGTCTGGTCCAGACTCAATTATTTACTGACCTCCGCCATGATATAGCTGGAATATTGCTGAGTGCGGCGTAAAACTAAACTCACTCACTTACCGATCAAGACTTGAATGTTTACAGACCGCTATCATCTAGCCACTCACTATTACTGATGCTATCTACCTCTGGCTGGAATATTGCTGACATAAAACAATATCTACTCACTCAACCATAGACAGAAATAATAGGAGATCCGAAACACATGTACTTTAGATGAGTCGAGACAACCAAACAGAAGTCTGTAACCATAGTAACAGTGCAGGGAATGATCTGTAGCTCACCTAACCCAGGTTTTATTGACATGTTGACAATTTGGTCAGTCGACAATCAACAGGTATGGAGGTATATGTTGCAGGTATATGTGTGGCCCAACAGTGTACGACTCGGCTCATATTGGACATGCCAGCACATATATGAGATTCGACATCATCCGAAGGATCATGGAAAACTTCTTTGACATCAATCTTATGGTGGTCCTGGGAATCACTGACATCGATGACAAAATCATCGACAGATCCAACGAGGTAGTTCAGTAGTGATGAAGTCTTAGCATGGGGATTCATATTGGTTAGAAAACATTGCTTTGTTTCCTTATCTGTACAGTGGGGAGCTCATTTCTGTTGTCCCCCTCTCTGAAATCCTGGAATGAAGCTGAATGGTGCCAAAATAATTCTGTTTGGTCATAACATTCAAAAGCTGAAGGAAAAAGTCTGTTTGTCACAGTGTACCGTAACTCATTTTGTAATGTGATGTGCTATAAATTGACCAAACTATCTTTGTTCACTTTACACACTACTGACCACTCTCTTAAGATTCTTAGTGACTTGGTTGATGCTTGTAATCTCAAGAAGAGAATGTTGCTCATTATATCAATCACTTGTTTTGCTTACCAGACTCGAGCATTATTCAGTTTGAACAGTTTGGTGTAAATTTTATGGCAACATTGACAAAGTTGGGTGTTGCTTCCAGACTGGCATCCCCTTCTCACAGATCACCTGGCAACACAAGATTGAGTTCTTCGAGGATATGGAGGCCCTGAACATCCTCCCTCCCAGCAGGTCAATGCAGGTCACAGAGTATGTCCCGGAGATCATCGACTTTGTGAATGTAATCATTAATAAGGGCTACGCCTATACCACACCCAGTGGTGAGTCCCTTTAAGATCAAACTGTATAGAGGCCATGCCTCATCATTAAAAAGGACTATGCCTACATCACACCCAGTGGTGAGTCCCTTTAAGATCAAACTTTATAGAGGCCATGCCTCATCATTATAAAGGACTATGCCTACATCACACCCAGTGGTGAGTCCCTTTAAGATCAAACTGAATAGAGGCCATGCTTCATCATTGATAGGGTCTATGCCTACACCACACCCAGCGGTGAGTCCCTTTAAGATCAAACTGAATAGAGGCCATGCTTCATCATTGATAGGGTCTATGCCTACACCACACCCAGCGGTGAGTCCCTTTAAAGGTCACATGCAACCAAAAAATCAAACATAATTAAAACACAATTATCACTTATTCATGACATATAATATACATTGCTGATTATGAAAAAAACATAAACAACAAAATTATAAGCGTACAATTGCAAATCAAAAGTGCAATATTTTGTACTTAGGTTTACTTCCCTTGAAACGAAGCACCCGGGATACCAACCCAGTCAGAACGGGTGGGTGTGCACTCAAGTGTAACGGCTGGTTCATTTGCCGATGTCCTCACGGCTCATTGTGTGTGTGTATATAGAGATGTTGGGTTTTGTAAATACATGTTCATTTTTTATGTAGAACATTTTGCAATCAACAGACATCATAACATGTCATGTGTACAAGTATCACACCTGCCTGTCTGTGTAATTGTCCCTCGCCACAACGCGGAATGGGGACTATGTATTCAGCGGCGTCCACACGTCCGTCCGTCGTACGTACGTACGTCCCGATTCTTGTTAACGTGATATCTCATGAACTGTTGTACCCAATGTCTTCAAATTTAGTGACAGCCTACATTGGGAGATTATGCAGACACCAGTCGATTTGGGTGACCTTGACCTTATTTTCAAGGTCACCACGACACTTTGACCACTTTTCAAACTCTTGTTACCGTGATATCTCATGAAATGTTGTACCCAATATCTTCAAATTTGGTGACAGCCTACATTGGGTGATTACGCAGACACCAGTTGATTTGGGTGACCTTGACCTTATTTTCAAGGTCACCACGACACTTTGACCACTTTTCAAACGCTTGTTAGCGTGATATCTCATGAACTGTTGTACCCAATGTCTTGAAATTTGGTGACAGCCTACATTAGGGGATTACAAAGACACCAGACGATTTGGGTGACCTTGACCTTATTTTCAAGGTCACCATGACACTTAGACCACTTTTCAAACTCTTGTTAGCGTGATATCTCATGAACTGTTGTACCCAATGTCTTGAAATTTGGTGACAGCCTACATTAGGGGATTACGCAGACACCAGTTTATTTAGGTGACCTTGACCTTATTTTCAAGGTCACCATGACACTGAAGACTTTCAAACTCTTCTTAACACGACATCTCATGAACTATTATACCCAATGTCTTCAAATTTGGTGACAGCATACATTGGGGATTACGCAGACATCAGTTGATTTTGGGTGACCTTGACCTTATCTTCAAGGTCACCACGACACTTTGACCGCTTTTTAAAGGCGATATCTCATAAAACATTGCACCCAATGTTTTCAAGTATGTTGACAGCCTACATCGGGTGATTATGCAGACACCAGTCATTTCAGGCATCTTGTATGTGACCCAAAAATAAAAAGTAGTAAATATAGATATTCCATTCTTTAGCGGCGGGGGATATTGCCACATCAGTGGCAAACACTTGTTACATAATGTGACAGAGACCGAACTCGGGCCATAAATCAATGCGTTTGGTTTATGATGTATAGCCTGATAGGTGTTAAGTTCAAATTGCATGTGGTCAGTAATCAAAGTTGTGTATTGAATATTGTTATTAGCAGACAGGCAGGCAGACACATAGGTGTCAATAAAACAGACATTGAGTTTTGTCTGTGACAACGACATCTCTATATCACAGTGAGAAATTCTGTCAACGCTAAATAATGACATTGCTTTTAAGTATGGAACTGAGAATGTGACTCGGTAAGAAGAATGTGTGGTGAAATAGACATATGAAATTATATAAACAGTTAAATCGGTAATCTACTGTCATAACATAAAAGCTCGCGCCTGTGAAATATCAAGAAAACATTAGAAAAATAATTCACATCAAAGCCTTCGCCGAGTATTCACTGCCAGCGAAGGTTTTCCATCTTGAAAGGTTGAACGCCTCACTGGTTGACATATAGCTGAGTAGATCTAGATCCTTACAAGGTTCTTTTATGTAATGAGTAGATTATTCACTATTTGTTTTGATTAGACTACTCCTGTTCACGAACTTATGATCCGGACATCCTGCTTCCAAGCTGCGCGAACCTATTTCACTGCGGCATGTGCTATGAGCGCAGCACACTTTTCACCCCACGCGCTGGGGTGAATTTAGCCAATCGTTTAGCGGGGCTGTTTTCATCGTGTTATTTTTCAACTTTATAAGTTGAATTTGCATTTTTGATGATTTGTATCTGTAAGTCCATACCGAAAGGTATCAGAATCTGCAAAGTTGTGTTTTACGTTGCATGTAACCTTTAAGATCAAACCGTATAGAGGCCATGCTTCATCATTGATAGGGTCTACACTTCTACCACACCCAACGGTGAGTCCCCTTTAAGATCATAGGGTCTACACTTAATATTAGGGGCTACTACCACACCCAGTGGTGAGTCCCTTTAAGATCAAACTGTATAGAGGCTATGCTACATTATTGAGTGTCTGTAATCAGGGTAATATCACACCACAACATTAATAAGGGCCACGCCTACATCACGCCCAGTGGTGAGTCCCTTTAAGATCAAACTGTATAGAGGCTATGTGGTGAGGGGTCACTTTAAGATCAAACTGTATAGAGGCTATGCTACATTATTGAGTGTCTGTAATCAGGGTAATATCACACCACAACATTAATAAGGGCCACGCCTACATCACACCCAGTGGTGAGTCCCTTTAAGATCAAACTGTATAGAGGCTATGCTACATCTGTAATCAGGGTAATATCAATACAACATTAATAAGAGGGCCACAAACTGCCTACATCACACCCAGTGGTGAGTCCCTTTAAGATCAAACTGTATAGAGGCCACACCCAGTCATCAGGTTTGTAGTAATGTATTTTTGAGTCCTGAGTCCTATCAAATAGAGTCATATACTATATCCTGCCAGTTAGTTGACTTGATGGAAACGCTTCCTGCTTCTTGTTGTGAACAACAAGCAATCAACCAATCAATGTGTATTGATGGTAACCAGAGAGCTACCCATACTTCTTCCTCTGCTTCTTCCAAGAATAAATAGGGTTGAATGAATACATTTCAATGTGACTATATTTAAACAAGAACAATCCAAGGTGGTAGCTGTCTGTTCCTGTTGGGTACCTATTAACTGCTGGGTGAACAGAGGCATATTTCTTGCCTCGGGAGACGCCACATGTAGCTTGTGTTTCAATGTGGGGGATGACTGTAGCCATGGAAACTCTTGATGAGTGTACTGTGACTGTATCACCTGTCATTTGGGAGTGAGTGAGTGAGTGAGAGTACCGTACATGCACTATTGCTGCTTAATTCACAGTTTGCTGTATGTAATTAGACAATGATTAGTTAAACATTACTCAATTCTTTTTCATAGAGATCGTCCTTGGGTGCATATATGCATTTTCTGCGGCTGAAAACGTCATGTGACAGCTGTATCAATGTTTTAATAAAGATATAGTACAATAAATATAAGCCTTTTTTATTTATTATACAGCCCCCACCACGTGGAGTTACCTCCCTGCCACGCATGCGTGGCCAACCAGGTAAGCACCCAGGCCCATATCATCATTCCTTCTGCTGTCACGCATCGTGTGTACACGTGCTTGACTAGTGCTGACAAAGAGTATTCGATACTACGTCTATGTCTGAGTCTTCAACTACTGTATGCATGGTCTTTATTCGTTCTTTACAACGCTCTTTTGACTTTGCAGTTAGTTATTTCTCATTATGTGACTTTTGTATTACAAAATTTACGCTTGCTTTCCCGTGGTTTACGCACGTGTTGCTATTCCATGGCGGGAAGTTTAGCGTGCCACGTGGTGAAATATTGCTTGTTATACAATTATTTCATGTCACGTCGCATTCACGTATTTTCAATGTTTTCTACGTGTATTTTGCTGTTTTATTTTGCCGTTAGCTACATGCGTTGCGCGTTTGCTTTCAGGCGTTTACAGCATCAGTTGCCTGTGGGCTAATGCTGCCGCCGCAAGATAAGCATTAAAAGTGCTTATGTTGTCTTGAAAAGGCTGGGCATAACCCTGATGTATGCGAGCTTTGCATCGGTTTCTCCCCCGTGCCCAGAAGAGAAGGGCTGCTGATTTCCTCTTCTACAGACAATTGAAGGAGGCGGGAGGGGACCCGGCCGAGTAAATACTCCCATCCAAGTCTGAAAAGGCTAAAAAGCCTTCTAAAACCAAAGGTTCGAAAGAATCACCACAATTTGATATGTCATTCATTCAACAATTATTCCAACAGCATATGGACTCGGTGAAGTCCCTCGTGCACGAGTCGGTTGGAGGACTCCGGCAGGAGTTTCTTGCTGGCACTGGACAGGGGGCGGAGAGTTCGGGGGCTTCTGTCGATCCGTTGCCGCTGGCTTCGGGTCCGGAAGCTTCGGCCACCCCAGGGAGGGACCGTTGAGTATTCCTGGTGTTCCGGTCCCTGCGCACCCTTTCCCCTTGAGAGCAGAGGAGCCAGTTCTGTCTGGGCTACCTCCTGCGTCTCGGGACTGGGTTTCTGGGATGCGGTCGGTGTCCGGAGCGGAGAGTGTCTCGGGCTCTTCTTTCCCTTTGTCGTCTGTGGCTCGGCCTTCCACCAGGTCGGGGTTCGGGTCCTCTCTTTTGGAGGATCCGGATTCTGGCTCAGGCTCGGGAGCCGAGTCGATGGATGTTGGGGAGGTTGAGGAGTCCGAGGGCGCTTTCTGCTTCGCGTCAGCTTTGCGAGAGGTGCGTCAGCGCATTGCGCAGATGTTACCCCAAGCTGCGGTGCCGATTAGCTGTCAGGACTCGTCTGAGTTCCGCCTGCCGGGTGAGACGTTTGCTCCTCGGCAGCCTTCACAGACGCAGCTCCGCATTCTTCCCTCACTGATTCAGGATGTTGGGGATCCGTTACTAGCTGGCTCTAGGCTCCGGTTCGATTTGCCCGAACTTGTGAAGCGGTATCATCTGGGTGATGAGTCCCTGTTCCTGGTTCCGGTGGTGGACGAATGTGTGTTTACCTCGGTCGCCCTCGGGGGAGGCTCGGCTTCCTCAGGTTCAGCTCCGGCTGCCAAACAAGGGCGTTTCTTTCCATCTTTTGCCCAGTCGGGCGCCCCTCTGCGGCAAGCATACCGAACCTACGAGGAGGTTTATCGGAATGCTATGCAACAGGTACGGGTTGTGGTCCATGGGGCGTACCTCTCCTCGATTCAGAGGTCGGCCCTGGAAGCGGAGGCAGGCACGGGTGACGTATCATCTCATGTTGTTCTCCTTCGTCAACTTACCGAGGTACAAGATCATCTGACCAGGGACTCGTTAAGGTCCGCTCGTCGATGGTGATGTGCGCAGTCATGGGGATGTGCAAGCTGTGGTTGTCGACCTCAGGCTACTCGGCGGCGACCCAGCAAACCTTGCTGGCCCTTCTGTTTCGGCTGGGTGCGACGTTGTTTCTGGGGGCTCAGCAGGTAATATAGGAGGCTGCTGCTGCAGCTACTTTCTTCAAGGATTCCAAGGCCTTCTTGGAACAACCGCAGGTTTCTCGCCCACGTGCTCCCGTGGCGAGCTCTTCCTCTGGGGCGCAGTCTATGCCCGAGTCTGCAGGTTGGCTTCGGACGCTTGGCGGGGGTAGGAGGTTGAGCCGTCCCGCCAAGGGTAAGGGTAAGGAGAAGTCTTTTTCGTCTGGCTCCCAGCAGCCTTTTCGCAGTCATGGGGGGTCTGCCCCGACCTCCCGTTAGACGTGCAGGCTGCTCCAGCGGATACGTCCCAGCCAGGGGACTACTCATGCTCTCTTACCACATATCACAGTTGGAGGCCGCCTCTCTCTATTCCTTCCGGAGTGGGAGAAGGCTTGGGTGCTGTCCACCGTACCTGTCAGCCATCTACCGCTGTGGAAGTGAGGCCCGCCAGAGTTTACCGGCATAAGGCGCACTCCGGTGCCGTCATGTCCGGTCAGGGCGGGTATACTGCGCGACGAGGTTCAGACTGTCAGGTGCACAAGTCCGCAATAGAGCGCATACCACCGGGCGAGGAACAGGCAGGGTTTCATTCCACGTACTTCCTTGTACCGAAGAAAGACGGCGGGTTCCGTCCAAATCTCAACCTAAAGGGGTTGAATCGCATGTTGAGGTTCCATCCTGCAAGATGGAGACACTTTGCTTCGTGATCTCCTCTGTTCAGCCCAGCGATTGGCTCACATCGATCTCTTACGACGGGATGTATTATCAGTTCAGGGTGCTCCCCTTCGGCATATCTACTGCCCCCAGGGTGTTCACCAAGCTCATTCACAAGGAAGGCATTGTCACCCTTACCTGGACGACTGGTTGCTATGCGCATTAACTCAGCCAGCGAGTCTAGATTCTACTCACACGATGATAGACATTCTAGTTTGACTGGGGTGGATCATAAACCTCAAGAAATCCGACCTGGTACCCACCCAGGACTTGGTTTTTCTCCGGGCACGGTTCACAACTCAACAAGGTCTTGTGTCTCTGTCGCCCGACCGGATCACCAGAGTACGGGAGATGGTGTCTTCGTTCCTCTCCCAGCTCCGTCTGCTGGGTAATATGTAGGCGACCGTCTCTGTCGTGTGCGGTTGAGGATGCGCCCTATACAGCAAGCTTTGGCGAGTCTGTGGGCTCACTCAGAGGATCTGGAGAAGTGTCTCACAGTTCCCGGGTGGTTGTCTCCTCACCTTCAGTGGTGGACCAATGTCGGGAATCTCTCCAAAGGGGTCCCTTTGGAGGTTCTGACGCCAGCTCTTACAGTTCAAACGGATGCATCCCTCTTGGGCTGGGGGGTGTTCTGGGCAGTCTGTCAGTGTCCAAACTCTGGTCCGAAGCCGAAGCCAGTCTTCACATCAATGTCTTAGAACTGAGAGCTGTGCGGTTGGTTTTTGAGCGCTTCTGGGAGCATGTTCAGGGCCAGGTGGTTGTCTTCAGTTAGACAACCGTACGGCCATGACATACATCCTGAAGCAAGGCGGCACGGTGTCCTTAGTGCTCCGACGGGAGACATGGGAGTTTCTCCTCTGGGCTAGGGCGGTGGGGTAGCCTAATGGTTAAAGCGTTGGCTCGTCACGCCAAAGACCCGGGTTCGAATCCCCACATGGGTACAATGTGTGAAGCCCATTTCTGGTGTCCCCCGCCGTGATGTTGCTGGAATATTGCTAAAAGCGGCCTAAAACCAAACTCAGTCAGTCTCCTCTGGGCTAGAGAATGTGCGAGCAGACGGGCTCTCTCGGCGGATCCTGGCCCCGCATGAGTGGATGCTCGATCGGCAGATATTCGGAGTTATCTCCCAGTTGTACGGATCGTTCCAGGTGGATCTGTGTGCGTCCGGCAGGACAAATCAGATACCCGTGTTCTGCTCTTGAATACCGAACCAGAGGGCGTTGGCTTCGGACGCCTTCCTGCTGGATTGAACGGGCAAGGTGCTGTGGGCGTTCCCGCCACTAACACTCATTCCCAGCTCAGCTACTTGTGCTTCTGGCACCGCTTTGGCCGTCACAGAGCTGGTTTCCGGTAATTCTCAGGTTTCTGGCTCAGCCTCCTGTTCCATTATCCTTATGACCGGACATTCTCACTCAGAACGGCGCCACACCCCAATCCACGGATTCAGTGGGTGGCTTGGCCTCTGTCAGGTCTAGCCTCGAGGCACGCGGAATTCCTGCAGCAGTTGCAGACACAATTCTGGCTTCGAGGCGGGATTCGACAAATGTTCAGTACGAGGATAGGTGGTCCCGCAATGCGCGCTGGTGTTCAGATAGGGGAATTGCAGATCCCTTTTCTGCGGATTTAGTCCGAGTTTTGGTGTTTCTGTAGTCTCGTTTGGAAGAAGGTTTGGCGGCTTCGACCATTTGTGGGTACTCCACCGCTATTTCCACCTTTCACACCCCTGTCGATGGTGCTCTTCTCGGGCAGCACCCTCTTGTCCTGCGCTTCCTAGCTGGCCTTGATCGGGTTCAACCTGCTCTCAGGCGTACCATCCCACCTTGGGATTTGTCAATCATGCTAGATTGGCTGTCCGGTCCTACTTTCTCACGTCTATCGGCTATTTCCATTCAGCTGTTTACAAGGAAGGCCGTTTTTCTGGTGGTGGTGACATCTGGGAGAAGGGTCGGTGATTTACATGCCATATCTGCAGGCCCGGCACTGACTGTGTTCCATCCAGATCGCGTCAGTATTCCCCTCCCGGATAGTTACCGTCCGAAGATCGATCACGCTTTCCAAATGACAGCTCCTATCGAACTTCCTACTCTTACCCAGACCTCTGCAACGAGCACTCACCTGTTGGACGGCCGTAAGACCCTCAAGGTCTATATCAAACAAACACAAGGGATCCGTACGGGTACAAATCTGTTCTGCTGTTACGGTGGCGGGAAGGCTGGGGCTCCTGCCAGCAAACAGACACTTTCTTGCTGGCTTGTGTCAGTCATTTGTGCTGCTTATCAGGCTAAGGGCAAGCCTCCCCCTGAGGGGTTGAAGGCTCACTCAGTCAGGGCATTAGCCACTTCAAAAGCTTTTGCAGCGGCACTGCCCATCGAAGAGATTTGCTCTGCCGCTATTTGGAGCCGGCCTAGCACTTTTACACGGCACTATATGCTTGATACACATTCATGTGATCGAGCGGCTTTTGGCCGTTCTGTTCTCTCCGGAGGACAGTGTCCTGCCACCATGACCGAGTGAGTCTTGGTTATTTGGTTTTATAGAGACGCTGTGTTCAGTTGGTGTTTCAATTGACATATCTGCTGTTGATTTTTCACTTTCACTTTCTCAGTTGAGATATTCGGTTGTGAGTTGTGGTTTCCCCCTTACGGTGCTCTCTAGAGATTTCACTAAGTGGGCGGGGTTTTATGTACACACTTTGTGCTGTGTTTTAATGCTTAGCAAGTTGAGGCCAGTCCTCAGTACGTTTCCTCCCTGTCGGGTCACCTCCCATAATCCCTCTCACGGAATCTTTGGGATATGTGACAGATGAGTGTTGTGGCATAAGTAACTTTTTGTTTACGTGATCGCTATTTATTTGTACTGTGACTGAATTCCCTCCTCCCTAGCTTCCGGTCTTTGGGAGTCTGTGTTAATGCATACTCAAGGACGATCTCTATGAAAAAGAATTAGATAAACCTGTAGAGGTTTCCAATTCTTTGAAGAGAATCGTCCTTGGGGTAGGGCCGCCCACCTCCCTGCAATTCTGTTCACTGATTTCTTCAGCAGAAGGAATGATGATATGGGCCTGGGTGCTTACCTGGTTGGCCACGCAGGCGTGGCAGGGAGGTAACTCCATGTGGTGGGGGCCGTATAATAAATAGAAAAGGCTTTTATTTATTTTACAATATCTTTATTAAAACATTGATACAACTGTGACATAACATTTTCAGCTGCAGAAAATGCATATATGTACCCCAAGGACGATTCTCTTCAAAGAATTGGAAACCTCTACAGGTTTGTCTAAATTTCAGTTATAGGGTGAAAATATCTTCTGGTAGATGAGGAGTTTGCTTGGCAGTGAGAAGACTGCATATGTTCACAAGCATTTAATTCCGAAACCGTTGTTAAGCTAGCGGGATATTTTATTTTGAAAATGAAATTCAGATGAATATGAATACATATTTATTAACAGTATAAAACTGTAAATTTATGACTATTGAACAGGGACGTTCGGGTGTATAATTAATGTTTCAGTTGTATGAAATGTGATAATCCAGTTGCCACTGATAAATAAGTGTTCTGTATTGGTCCTTCAGGTAGTGTGTACTTCAATGTCGAGAAGATTGGCCGATATGGGATACTGTGTGCACCTTCTGGGAGCTGTGACCAGGCAGGTAAGTTTGACCACTACTGGATACAGTGTCCACCTTCTGGCATCCTCAATAATCTCCAGGGTATAAGTTACGATAAATCTCCACTAGTAGCCTGGATGCATCCATGGCTCGGCCCCTCCATTTGCTGGCTCCGCATTTTCACAGTAGCCAATCAGCTTAGCCGCCGTTACAACCCAGCTTGCCAGTGTCAACAAAGATAGCGGCCGCAGCTGCGAAGGTTTGTTCACAGTGCAACTCAGATTTGGGGGGAAATCATACAGACAAATTGACAGATCTGAACCCTTAAAAAATATATGCAAGAACTCTTTTTACCTCTTTCAGAGTACCTCTGCAACAATTATGTTGCCAAGTATAATCGGTTACATAAAAGAAGCGAAAGTGATTTGTGATTGGTATGCTGAACTTCCCAGCATAGACACCTGATTGGATAAAAAGCCAGCCAAGGGAGGTAATAAAATCATGGGGCTGAGTCGTAGATGCATCCAGGGTATAGTGGAGACTTATCGGAAAGTATACCCTGGAGATTATCGAGGATGACCTTCTGGGGGCCGTGACCGATGACAGTCAGGTAAGTTTTGCTGCTACGGGATACTGTGCCCACCTTCTTGGGGCCATGACCAATGGCAGTCAGGTAAGTCGGTATTGGTTAATTCAGTGATCAAGAAAGAAGCTTGAAAGATTACAAAGTGGGAATGGATATTGATTCCAGATCCTGTCATATACCTTACAATTAATGTTGTGTCTTGTTATTCAACAGAACTATTAATGTGGAAAAAGTATTGATACTCTGTTTAAGATCCCTGCAGTAAATGTTATGTTTGAAATCTGATGTTATGATATCTATCAAGCGTAAGAAAATGAGAACTTTTAGAATTTGTTTGCATATTGCTTACCAAGTGCATGTTGTTTTGAATGCTGAATACCTGACACTCATTTGATACTTAAAAGAAATAAAAGATGTTGAAAGATGATTAAGATGTTTGCTGAATGTTTTGGTTAATGGTGTAAAACCCCTGCTGACTTTATGTGTTATCCCAGTGGGAAGTGGTTCCAGTCCGACCGACCAGCTGCTACTGAATCTCCATGAATGATACACAATACACGATCATGCTAAATCTAACAACACCAGTGGTCCGAAGATCATTGGTTTAAGTCCCAGATTCCCTCGATTTTTGGTGTTTCACACCATCCCAATGATCGAGAGTTTCACAAAAGTTATAAACTTTCATTTTTCATGCCGACATGCTGATATGACTGAAATACCATTCAAATGGAATCAAACCCAGCTCCCTAACTCACTCTCTCAGCTCTCTGTTTTTAGTGTTGGTAAACAATTTCCATGTTGACAGACAATCAGGAGAAGAAGAATGCAGCAGACTTTGTGCTGTGGAAGGCAGCTAAACCCGATGAGCCTCACTGGGAGGCTCCGTGGGGGAAGGGCGGCCCGGGCTGGCATATCGAGTGCTCCACAATGGCGAGGTAAGATGCTACACCTGTCCTCTTGTTTGATTCATAACCATGAGGCAGTAGAAAGCTGTTGTATCAATATAGACATATCTTCTGTAACCCTATATATTATATTTCACAGTATCTGGAAGTCTTCATGTTGATTCAGTCGATGTTGATGTCAGTCAGTGGGTCATATATGACCAGTATCATATAGCTGGAATATTGCCCAGTGCGACATATGAAATAAAAAGAAACTATCAACATCTATCACTTTTCTCAGAGTTTGATACAGATCTTTTTATAAATGTAGGGGTGGTGGGGTAGCCTAGTGGTTAAAGCGTTCGTTGTTACGCTTAAGACCCGGGTTCGATTTCCGTCATGGGTACAATGTGTAAAACCCATTTCTGGTGTTCCCGAACATGATATCACTGGAATACGGCGTAAAAATACACTCACTCACTTACATGTGGCCCAGTATGAGTGAGTGAGTGAGTGAGTGAGTTTAGTTTTACGCTGCACTCAGCAATATTCCAGCTATATGGCGGCGGTCTGAAAATAATCGAGTCTGAACCAGACAATCTAGTAATCAACAGCATGCGCATCGATCTGCGCGATGGGGAACCGATGACATGTGTCAACCAAGTCAGTGAGCCTGACCACCCGATCCTATTAGTCGCCTCTTACGACAAGCATGGGTTACTGAAGATCAATATTCTATCCCGGACATTCACGGGTCCCAGTATGAGTGAACTTTATGTCTCACAAGAACATGAGAGGAAGTAAGTCAAGTTATCAGTACATCAGAGCTATACATAATGCTATCAAACACACATCAAGGAATACAGGTATTCACAAGGTACATGATTCTATGTTGTCAGAAAGTAACTAACGTAGATACATTGGCTTTCCTGGTTTTGATTCCAGTGAGATATTCGGCAACAAGATGGATATTCACTCAGGAGGGACAGACCTGATCTTTCCTCATCATGAAAACGAACTTGCCCAGTCCCATGCCTATCATGGCTGTACCCAGTGGGCCAACTATTGGATACACACAGGTGGGTGGGGTTGTATCCAGTGGTTAACAACTGGATACACACAGGTGGGTGGGGCTGTAACTTCTGGGCCAACTACTGGCTACACACAGGTGGGTGGGTCTGTATCCTGTGGGCCAACTACTGGCTACACACAGGTGGGTGGGGCTGTACTTAGTGGGCCAACTACTGGCTACACACAGGTGGGTGGGGCTGTACTTAGTGGGCCAACTACTGGCTACACACAGGTGGGTGGGGCTGTACTTAGTGGGCCAACTACTGGCTACACACAGGTGGGTGGGGTTGTACTTAGTGGGCCAACTACTGGCTACACACAGGTGGGTGGGGCTGTACTTAGTGGGCCAACTACTGGCTACACACAGGTGGGTGGGGCTGTACCCAGTGGGCCAACTATTGGATACACACAGGTGGGTGGGGTTGTATCCAGTGGTTAACTACTGGCTACACACAGGTGGGTGGGGCTGTAACTTCTGGGCCAACTACTGGCTACACACAGGTGGGTGGGTCTGTATCCTGTGGGCCAACTACTGGCTACACACAGGTGGGTGGGGCTGTACCTAGTGGGCCAACTACTGGCTACACACAGGTGGGTGGGGCTGTACTTAGTGGGCCAACTACTGGCTACACACAGGTGGGTGGGGCTGTACCGAGTTGGCCGACTACTGGCTACACACAGGTGGGTGGGGCTGTACCCAGTGGGCCAACTATTGGATACACACAGGTGGGTGGGGTTGTATCCAGTGGTTAACTACTGGCTACACACAGGTGGGTGGGGCTGTACCCAGTGGGCCAACTATTGGATACACACAGGTGGGTGGGGCTGTAACTTCTGGGCCAACTACTAGCTACACACAGGTTGTTGGGGCTGTAACTTCTGGGCCAACTACTGGATACACACAGGTGGGTGGGTCTGTACCCAGTGGGCCAACTACTGGCTACACACAGGTGGGTGGGGCTGTACCCAGTGGGCCAACTACTGGCTACACACAGGTGGGTGGGGCTGAACCGGTGGGCCAACTACTGGCTACACACAGGTGGGTGGGTCTGTACCCAGTGGGCCAACTACTGGCTACACACAGGTGGGTGGGTCTGTACCCAGTGGGCCAACTACTGGCTACACACAGGTGGGTGGGGCTGTACCCGGTGGGCCAACTACTGGCTACACAGGTGGGGCAACTCCCTGATGACATGAGTTATCATGTGACCTCCTTACTGTGTTATCATGTGACCTACTTATGTGTTGTCATGTGACCCAGTGGTATAATATGCATATTTCCTTTCCAGGACATCTGTTTTTGAAGGATGACAAGGAGAAAATGTCGAAGTCGCTGAAGAATGTGATAAGTATATCGGAACTCCTTGAGAAATACACAGCCAACCAGTTCCGTGTTCTCTGCCTCCTCACACCCTACCGGAACAGTGAGTGCACTTGTTTCTCGGGAAATACAGTAATTCTCTTTCAACGATCCCTGTTTCCTTCTTCCTTGTTGAAGATCTGTGTTGTGTTCCAAGTCAAGACACTTAGTTATTCTTGTTAATGACAGTAGTTAACAGACCTTGATGTGACGAGGGGACGACTAAAACACTGCTCTTCATATTTTGATTCTATTCCACATTTTTAGTTCACCCGACTGTAAGTCACATGACCTTATGTTTTGGCCCACTACTGTCTGTTTTGTGTCGTCCACATCGTTTTTCCCTTTGAAGATAGTACCTCAGTTTGCTCAAGAAGTTGAAATCAGTTGTGTCCGCTATGATCTATGTATTTCGGGTTTTTTCTGAATGTTATAAATTTGACCTTAATCGATTTGTCTCGATGAACCGAGGAAACGAAACTTGGGCATGAATGTTTTTTCTTTATGGGGATATCATATTTCTTGAAAATTGCTAGGATATAGTGTTAGTTTTTACCTCTTGGAGGAAATCCAACATAAGCCAGCACACTCCTTCAGTCAATGTATTACAAGTGTCGGTGTGCTGATGGTGTGTTTGTCCCGCCAGACGTTGAGTACACGGACGAGAAGATGCAGAAGGCAGTGCAGCTGACCAAGCAGATCCAGAGCTGTCTCCACCAGTGTGACGCATATGTCAGAGGTCAACTCCTGACTCAGCCAATCAACGAGGCCAAACTACATGAGAGGTCAGTTTACAGTCTATCTCTGCCAGTATTGCTGGCACTATTCAAACTACCACAGTACATCTCACTCATGTTTCTTATCTTCATCAGACTTTTAAGTTCTCATGGTACAAGAAAGGATTCTATTACATATTTTTGATGACATGGTGCATGGTGTTGACTTATGTTCCATAGCGCCAAGGTCAAACATCGGTGATTCCTTTACGTTCTTCATTTGTCGGGGCGATGGGGTAGCCTAGTGGTTAATGTGTTTGCTCATCACACCAAAGACCCGGGTTCGAGTCTCCACATGGGTACAATGTGTGAAGCCCATTTCTGGTGTCCCCCGCCGTGATATTGCTGGAATATTGCTAAAAGCGGCGTAAAACCAAACTCACTCACTCACTCACTACTTACTCTTCATTTGTCAAGGGAATTCTAGGTATATATTGGTCCCATGCCGCCTGTTTGTCATATAAGGCGATTTAATGAATGGATTGGATGGTCTGGATTGGTGTCTTGGTTTATGGCCGTAGTGCTGTGTGGATCATGGCTGTTAACATTTATCACTGGTTGTTCTGGTTTCTAATGTCAAAGACTGCTGACATGTAGCATCTTCTATTGGTGAGTTGCATATTTAGCAACAGTCTTGTAAGTACCTTGCAGATATTTTGTTAAAAACAGGGCATTACTACAAAGATCATTAGCATGACGAGCCTTGTAATGTAATGCCACCTCACTGTAGGTGACTCAATGTCAACAGTCAACGATTATTTGATCTGGTCTGTTTTGAACTTGTTTCTGTCTGGTTTCTTGTGTGGCTGTCAGCATCATTCCAGCTCTGTTACGGCTCTGTGCGGCAGCATCTTAATAATCATGTTTGAGCCAGACAAGACAGTGGTTGACAGCCTGATCACAGAGCTATATGAAGCAATTTACGTTGATCATATTGTTCTTCCCTGTGGTGTTTGTAGTAGATACGTTTGGGTCTCAAGTCTATTTTGATACTGATCTGTGGCAGTTTGTCTCGAGCTCGGAGTAACATTGAGGCAGCTATGGCGGACGACTTCAACACGGCCCTGATGATGGAGAGTGTCATGGACCTGGTCAAACGTCTCAACATTGCCCTCGGCGCGAAGGTGGAGGTAGGTGCATGGACTGGTCAAACGTCTCAACATTGCCCTCGGCACCAAGGTGGAGGTAGGTGCATGGACTGGTCAAACGTCTTAACATTGCCCTAGGCGCCATGGTGAAGGTAGGTGCATGGACTGGTCAAACGTCTCAACATTGCCCTCGGCACCAAGGTGGAGGTAGGTGCATTGACTGGTCAAACGTCTTAACATTGCCCTCGGCGCCAAGGTGGAGGTAGGTGCATGGACTGGTCAAATGTCTCAACATTGCCCTAGGCGCCATGGTGAAGGTAGGTGCATGGACTGGTCAAACGTCTCAACATTGCCCTCGGCGCCAAGGTGGAGGTAGGTGCATGGACTGGTCAAATGTCTCAACATTGCCCTCGGCACCTAGCTGGAGGTAGGTGCATGGACTGGTCAAACGTCTCAACATTGCCCTAGGCGCCAAGGTGGAGGTAGGTGCATGGACTGGTCAAATGTCTCAACATTGCCCTCGGCGCCAAGGTGGAGGTAGGTGCATGGACTGGTCAAACGTCTTAACATTGCCCTAGGCCAAGGTGGAGGTAGGTGCATGGACTGGTCAAATGTCTCAACATTGCCCTAGGCGCCATGGTGGGTAGGTGCATGGACTGGTCAAACGCAACATTGCCCCTCGAAGGTGGAGGTAGGTGCATGGACTGGTCAAATGTCTCAACATTGCCTCACCATGGTGAAGGTAGGTGCATGGACTGGTCAAACGTCTCAACATTGCCCTAGGCGCCAAGGTGGAGGTAGGTGCATGGACTGGTCAAACGTCTCAACATTGCCCTCGGCACCAAGGTGGAGGTAGGTGCATGGACTGGTCAAACGTCTCAACATTGCCCTCGGCGCCAAGGTGGAGGTAGGTGCATGGACTGGTCAAACGTCTCAACATTGCCCTCGGCGCCAAGGTGGAGGTAGGTGCATGGACTGGTCAAATGTCTCAACATTGCCCTGGCAAGGTGGAGGTAGGTGCATGGACTGGTCAAACGTCTCAACATTGCCCTAGGCGCCAAGGTGGAGGTAGGTGCATGGACTGGTCAAACGTCTCAACATTGCCCTAGGCGCCAAGGTGGAGGTAGGTGCATGGACTGGTCAAACGTCTCAACATTGCCCTAGGCGCCAAGGTGGAGGTAGGTGCATGGACTGGTCAAACGTCTCAACATTGCCCTCGGCACCAAGGTGGAGGTAGGTGCATGGACTGGTCAAATGTCTCAACATTGCTCTCGGCGCCAAGGTGGAGGTAGGTGCAGCAGTTAGAACAGAAACTCATTTGGAAAACTAAGTCTTTCTATAAGGATTAAATTTTTCTGAACTGACCCCAATACATTTGGGACCCATGAAGATCTTCAGTAACCCAGGCTTGCCTTAAGAGGCGACTAATGGGATCGGGTGGTCAGGCTCTCTGACTTGGTTGACACATGTCATTGTATTCCAAAAGCGTAGATCGATGCTGTTGATCACTGGATTATCTGGTCCAGACTCGATTATTTACAGACTGCTGTCATATAGCTGGAATATTGCTGAGTGCGGCGTAAAACTAAACTCACTCACTCACTCAGTACATTTGGTCCCAATATTTATCTGGACATTGCCCGGAGACTATCTCATCCCAAGAGAATATATTTTCAACATTTAACTCTTTGTGTATGGATTTTGATATTGCAAATGCAATACATTTTTATCCCACCGGCATGTCCGGAGCATAACTCAAAGACCGTTCGATATTTTTCAACAAAAATTGGTAGATATGTCAAACATAACCTAAGGTGGTGCCTTTTGCTATTTACAGATTATTGTCGTTTTTATTTTTCTCGGTTTCCATGGAAACGTTTTGGACTTAGTCTTAAAGAAGGGTGGGCTTCGTTTCCGGAGCATAACTCAAGAACCGTTCAATATTTTTCAACAAGACTAGGTAGATATATCAAACAGAACCTTAAGTGGTGCCTTTTCCTATTTGCAGATTTTTGGCATTTTTATTTTTCCCGGTTTCCATGGAAACGATTCGGACTTAGTCCCAAAAGTGAGGGGTGGGCTTCATTTCCGGAGCATAACTCAAGAACCGTTCAATATTTTTCAATGAAACTTGGTAGATATATCAAACAGAACCTTAAGTGGTGCCTTATGCTATTTGCAGATTTTTGGCATTTTATTTTTTCCGGTTTCCATGGAAACGATTCGGACTTAGTCCCAGAAGGAGGGGTGGGTTTCGTTTCCGGAGCACAACTCAAAAACTTCTTAATATTTTTCAGCAAAACTTGGCAGATATGTGAGTCAGATCTTGAAGTGGTGCCTTTTGCTATTTGCAGATTTTTGTCATTTATTTTTTTCACGATTTCCATGGAAACGATTTGCACTTAGGTAGTCTAAAATCAAGCTGGATTTTAAGTAACTGTCAGATGATTTGTTCTTTCAAAGATGTGGGGGCCGGGGGGATATGTCATCTTCTGATGACTCTTGTTTACTGTTTACTATTCCTTTTGTGGTATATCTTTGTTGTGACAAGAAAACTCAAGCATGTTCTGCCAAGACGACATCACAAAATGAGCAAGGGACACTCAATTTGCATCATTGTAAAGATTGTAGGTAATACAGTATGGGTTTGTTCCAGACACTGATGGGAGCTCGGAGTCCGGCGGTCGTCTCACACTGCAGCACGTACCTACAGAACGTCATGGCCAAGTTGGGTGTCAACCTCCATCTGGCAGAGGTAGGTCAGTCAGTTCAACACATGTGGCCACTCATTTCAGTAGCAGACGTCTTTAAATATTGTGTAATCTGAGGTAATTTAACCTTGTTATGAAACAATGCATTTTATGCAGGTATGTAAAACTTCACATGTAGCCTCTTCCTCTTTATAGGGGCTCCTTTAGCTCACTAAGTGTACAAAGCCACGACATTAGCAGGAACTGTGTTTACATGAATTTGTCTACTCCTTTTGGGATCTGTACTGACATAAAGAAGTGGTGTTGTTTAACTCATGGAGTAAATATTCTTCTCAAGTTGCCTGTAGCTGTGTGTTGGTTATCTGGACAGTTGGTTGCCATGTTCCAGCCTCCTGGACAGGACCTGACAACCAGAAGGTTCCAGCACATCATGGACAGTGTTGTTGACTTTAGGGCCAAAGTTCGCAACTTCTCTATCGACCCTCCACAAGAAATTCTTGTCAAAGGTTCATATGATTGTTTTCATAAATGATATTTCATTCAAATCACTCTGTTTGGCTGAAGGCGGTAGTGTAGCCTAGTGGTTAAAGCGTTCGCTGATCATGCCGAAGACCTGGGTTCAATTCCCCACATGGGTACAGTGTGTGAAGCCCATTTCTGGTGTCCCCCGACGTGATATTGCTGGAATATTGCTAAAAGCAGCATAAAACTAAACTCACTCACACACCTTTTGGCTGAACAACTTTTAGTCCATCTGGCAGACAGATATTTCTTGCTATGGTTTTCAGAAATATGTAACAAATGATACACCCCTTTAATCTACCAAAGTAACCCATTGAGTAACCCACCCCAGTAACTCCCCAGTAATCATTCCTGGTAACCCACCCCAGTAACACACCCCAGTAATTATCTCCTGTAACCTTGTAGATGCTGACCCAAGTCTGACAGAGAAGAAGGCGAGACGCAAGGTACTGTCACCGTTGTTGCAAGCATGTGACGTCGTGAGGGATGATCTCAAAGCTGCCAAAGTTCAAATTCTGGTGAGTGCTGGTGTTTGTGAAATCTGGTCTAGTTGCCCATAAACTGAGAGTCTTCTTGCCCCAAACTGTTCAGTTGAGAATATTGGGCATCCCTGCTGTGAAAACAATAACGCCATATTGATTGTTTCAGGATCATGGGAAAACCTCGTCCTGGACTCTGACTTCTGATGATGATTCTGACGATGACAAGTCGGACTGAGGAAATGTGTACGTTGATGTGGAGATGTCATGAAGTGGATTTGGATCTCAGATTATCCTGGTGTTGTGAAGATTTGACCACTCCCCTGAACATTATTAATCAAGCCCTGTTTATGTTGAAGTTTTGACATCTGATTCTGGTGAGGAGATTCCGGAGAACCTTGAAGATTTCTTTCAGTTATAGTTCAGGAAAAGCAGGGTGATGTGGGATGGGGTAGGGGTTCCAGGGGGTTGGACACTACCCCCATTTGAAAATATCATACTGATAGAAACTGATGAAATAAAGAGGGATGAACTGTCATTTTGTCAAACAGACTCCCTCCACCCATCCCCACCCCCCTTCGACGTACACTCACACTGAAAGTTAAAATGTGAGTTTTGAACACCTACTTGTCCACCTACAAATACATCCACAATGGAAGCAGAAGATAAACACAATCAGATCTACCTCTGTCTATTTCGAACAGTCTCAATCTGAAAACATGGTCAGTATGCCCAGGAGTTACATGATTTATGAATGAACTAGCCTTATGACATCAGATAATATCCTTACCAAAATATACTGATTTAAAAAAATGTGTCCTCTGTCAAATTCTATAGTTGTGGTAGTTTGTTCTTTGCCTAAAGTGGCTGAAGTATCCTTAGGTTTGGACAATAGTCAATATACAAACGCCTCAGTTCAAAGAGACTGGGACCCAGTATACATCTTTGGATTCACAATTCCTGCATTACTTTGAGCTTTCAAATAATGAGCTGTCACAATGGTCAATACACTGTTCAATTCTGTCACACCTTGTATAAATGGTAGAAGTATATCTGATTGGTGCAAATTTGACTGTGATTAAGTTAAAAGAATGGTATATTTGCTCATTCATATTCCATAGAGTCACCTGTTCAATATTCTGTGTCTGTTTTGTATGATCATAATGGTCCACATCTCGTGATTTGAGTTGTCTACAGCTTGTAAGCAAAAATAATCTGTAACGTATGTTATATTTGGGATTACGCTTTCTTAGTAAATCCCAAATATAACATTCGTTACATTTGACCACTTTCTAAAATGGCATTGTGTATTCAAAACTAATCTGTTGTCCCATCACCATACACCCCTTGATTATCCATCTCGTGATTTGAGTTGTCTACAGCTTGTAAACCAAAATAATCTGTTGTCCCATCACCATACCCCCCTTGATTATCCATCTCGTGATGTGAGTTGTCTACAGCTTGTAAACCAAAATAATCTGTTGTCCCATCACCTTACACCCCTTGATTATCCATCTCGTGATGTGAGTTGTCTACAGCTTGTAAACCAAAATAATCTGTTGTCCCATCACCATACCCCCCTTGATTATCCAGTGTATTGTGTGTCCATTCTATTTTATGTGGTCTTCACATAATCATTAGCACACAAATATGTTGACAACAGTGCAAAAGTCAGACACAGCGTACTATTATCACACAATCAAAAGACAGTGTTCTTTTAGTGTTTGTATTCATTCCTCTCCCAGTCATATCTGTTGTGACTATATATTATGTTGAATGTGTTGATAAGTTTGCACTGAGTGTTGTAGATCTTGCAAGAGAGTGTATGACATAAGTCATGACATAATGCAGAGCTCCAGATAAGATTTAGCTCATGTGGGTACTGTACCCACTGTATTTTTGGAGTGGGTATTATGAATGTTGAGTGGGTATTTCTTTTTCTGTTACCCACTGCTTACAAATATGTGCGTATTTCAGTCATTTTACTCACCCAAGTATTATGTCATTGAGTAAGTTTACTAAGCAGGTATGTTCTGCCTTATGTCATACCTAATCAAAACCAACTTAAATATAATGGAAATGATTTCATAACAAATCACTCATCCTATACTGACAGTACAACACTTGTCCTATACTAACAGTACAACTTGATAGCAATCTATGTCTTTTTCATTACGTAAGCAATTTTTATAAATATATACTGTACGCATTTGTTTTAAACTTTTTGCGTATCTAACATTTTAAATGCGTAACTGGTACGCAACAATTATTTTTTCAATGCGTAATTTGAAATTTTCTCTGCGTATTTTACCCGGATATGCAGTTTATCTGGGCCTCTGATAATGTATTTATGTTATGTATTAATTGGCGATGTACACAAGATAGACTGCAGGGATTAAGCGTTGGGAGTATCACAAATGTCTGTGTCCTGCTTGTAACAAGAGGTCATATATGGCAGACATGTAAGAAGATGAACTTCCAAGTCAAGGTTTCAAGTATCATAGTGTGTATTGCAACCTTGCCATGATATACGTGTCGTATCAGGACAGATCGTGTTATTACATCCTTAGTCTCCAATGATCTCTAAAGAGATAGGTGGTTATGTGGTTAGGGATACTGCAGTTTACTGTGTAGAGTTGTGTCCCTTAGCTGTGTGAGGATCTGTTGATCATGGGATTATACCTCTGGTGATTGGTTTAACCATAACCTCAGAATGCTTACAAGAAAGGCCCGCCTACTAAATCATTGTATGAAAAATAGTTGTTACATTTTCTGCTTGGTTGAATAGTTTTATATATTTTTTCCCAGTTTATGTAAAAACAGTTAAATCTAATATGATGGCTTGGGTGAGGTGCCTTCATCCTAACGTTATCTTACTGTACTTCTTGTCAAGGACTTGACAATAAATATATTGCTGTGCGTCTTGAAGGACACTAAATCTTGTTCTGGTTCCATTCTATGCTGGATGCACTTTTCTGTGTCAAGTAAAACTTTCTCCAACACATCTTCGGGGCCCCTTGGTTGCCAGTGTGTTGACGATGTCCCTTGGTAGCCAGTGTGTTGACGATGTCAGTATGATCCCTGACACCACTATGTATGCAAATCATGCATGCAAATGCATGTGCAGTCTGTGTCAAGGCATCAACATGTTGTCCATAGTTTCTATTGTGAGTATATCTGCTATCTAGTCAGAAGGAAGTTTTAACAAATTCAGGTGAGCTTCAAGGAACACCACAATATTGCCTATGTAACCTGACCACTCATTGGTCTATGCAGAGATGCCAACTCATACGATTTTATTGTATTCCTAAAGAAATAAACTACTCAAAATACATGACTATGATAGCAGCAAGAATATTCAATTTTGAAAAACAAGAGTCAAGAAGATGACAAATCCCCCCGGCCCCCATAAATTTGAAAGAACAAATCAACTGACAATTACTTAAAGTCCAACTTGATTTTTTTTGGACTAGGTCCAGATTGTTTCCATTGAAATCATGAAAAATAAAAATGCCAAAAATCTGCAAATAGCAAAAGGCACCACTTTGGGATCTGCCTCACGTATCTGCCAAGTTTTGCAGAAAGATATTTAGAAGTTTTCAAGTTGTGCTCCGGAAACGAAGTCCACCCCTCCCTTTTGAGATTATGTTCAACTTGTTTCCATGGAAACCATGAAAAATAAAAATGACAAAAATCTGTAAATAGCAAAAGGCACCACTTTAGCTTATGTTTGATATATCTACCAAGTTTTGCTGAAAAATATTGAACGGTTTTTGCGTTATGCTCCGGAAACAAAATGAATAACGGACGGATGGACGGACAGACGGACGAGGCATCGACTATATCCCCCCACATTACATGCCAGGGGGATAAAAATACATTAAATTGAATTATCAATAGCATATGTACTATACACAATAAATTGCAACCACATTTTATTCAGTATCAAGCAATACGTGGATACTTACTGATTTAGGTGAGTACAATGTTAATAACAAGTTCTTAGAATATCTATATATTTTGTATTAAATATGAAACTTCTTTGGAAAGGTTAATACTGATTTTTCCCCAAAATACAAATTTTGGCATCAGTTTTTGGCCAAAATACTAATTGGGCTAAATTAGGGTTGGCATCTCTGTCTGTGGGTCCTTGCAGGAACTACACCACAGAAAGGCTGTAGGATTCAGCATTGCTAGTGGAAGTATGTATTCCTGGGAGGAATGTAGTGTATGCACCCCAGTGAAGTATTGGCACTGAACATATGTTCGGATGTTCTGCTGTGAGACTGGACCTGATGGACGTGGTGTAAGCTGTGCACCATGTCTGACTGTGTTTAAATGTTTGCAGAGCTAGATGTATTTTTCTAGCTGATCTGGATTTAGTCATATTTTGTGAGAGAAATCTAAATATTTGTATATTATTGTATTGGAGTAATATATACAGCAATAAAAGAGACCCTCTCATCATGCTTTGTTTTGTTGTCCAGACAACCAGGATGTTGCGCTTGTCAAGGGGGGCAACTCTTGTCCTGCTTTTGATAAAGTGTTGTCAAGATGTTAGAACGATCAATAAGTGTGAGATTGATCTGCATCACTTTACATTTGAACTAACAAACAAATGTTATGACACTTGAATGTGGTACTTCCAATTTGAGAGAGCCTGTCCCACTTGAATACTGTTCCTTTTAAGCCAGGCAGGTTTTACATGAACCAAGATTGTGAGATATTGGAAAGTTCAGATATTAGCTAGCTTGTATTGAGTTCTGTTTTGCTGAGATGTGTGTTGTATGCGAATCAACATCACCATATCTGATACAAAGATGGATCAGAAACTTCATCTGCGTTTTTCAACCTGTGATAACGCACCAATTTGTGCAAGAAAACTGTTGCCTTTTCATGGACTTTTTTCTTGACTTCATTCTTTTTTATCCCACCGGCATGTAATGCGGTGGGATATAGTCGTCGCCTCGTCCGTCCGTCCGTCCGTAATCATTTTGTTTCTGGAGCATAACTCAAAGACCGTTCGATATTTTTTAACCAAAATTGGTAGATATGTCAAACATAACCTAAGGTGGTGCCTTTTGCTATTTACAGATTATTGTCATTTTTATTTTTCTCGGTTTCCATGGAAACGTTTTGGACTTAGTCTTAAAGAAGGGTGGGCTTCGTTTCCGGAGCATAACTCAAGAACCGTTCAATATTTTTCAACAAAACTTGGTAGATATATGAAACAGAACCTTGAGTGGTGCCTTTTTTGGTATTTGCAGATTTTTGTCATTTTTATTTTTCCCGGTTTCCATGGAAACGATTCGGACTTAGTCCCAAAAGTGAGGGGTGGGCTTCGTTTCCGGAGCACAACTCGAAAACTTCTCAATGTCTTTCAGCAAAACTTGGCAGATAGGTTTCCATGGAAATGATTCAGACTTAGTCTCAAAAGGAAGGGGTGGGTTTCGTTTCCGGAGCATAACTCAAGAACCATTCAATATTTTTCAACAAGACTTGGTAGATATATCAAACAGAACCTTAAGTGGTGCCTTTTGCTATTTACAGATTTTTAGCATTTTTACTTTTCCCGGTTTCCATGGAAACGATTCGGACTTAGTCCAAAAAGTGAGGGGTGGGCTTCGTTTCCGGAGCATAACTCAAGAACCGTTCAATATTTTTCAACAAAACTTGGTAGATGTATGAAACAGAACCTTAAGTGGTGCCTTTTGCTATTTGCAGATTTTTGTCATTTATATTTTTCTTGTTTTCCATGGAAACATTTTGGACTTAGTCTCAAAAAGAAACGATTGCTTTCTTTTCCAGAGCACAACTCAAAAACCGTATAATATTTTTTAACAAAACTTGGTAGATATAGCAAACACATCCTAAAGTTGTGCCTTTTGCTATTTGCAGATATTTGTGATTTATTATTTTCTCAGTTTCCATGGAAACAATTTGGACTTAGTCTCAAAAGGGAGGGGTAGGTTTTGTTTCCGGAGCACAATGCGAAAACTTCTTAATATCTTTCTGCAAAACTTGGCAGATATGTGAGGCAGATCCCAAAGTGGTGCCTTTTGCTATTTGCAGATTTTTGTCATTTATTTTTTTCATGATTTCCATGGAAACGATTTGCACTTAGTCTAAAATCAAGCTGGACTTTAAGTAACTGTCAGATGATTTGTTCTTTCAAAGATGTGGAGGCCGGGGGATATGTCATCTTCTGATGACTCTTGTTTTACAAGCATTGGTTGCTGAAGACCAATTCTAACCTGGATCTTTATTTCATCAAGTAATGAAAGAAGGCACAAGTTTCTCCATCCATAACCTGTTCCAGAGTACAGCAAGGTGGATGAAAGTTTGATAATAATTGATCTGTTATGGCCTAAGGCATCTGGTGACATCAATCGATAGCTTACTTTACAGTGCATACAGATGTAATTCTTGTCTTTGTTTTGATTTTATTGATTGTTGTTATTGTTGAATAGACCAGTACAATTTCAGCAGGTGATGTTGCAACATAGAAATCCATAAATATATTATAAAGCTTCAATATTGCTGTGTGCAAATGTGGACAAGAAACAAACACTCC